TAAAATATATAGTAGCTCCTTTAATCTCAATTATCATTTTTCAAACCAGTTGAATATCAGGACACCTAAATAAAGCTAAAGTAGGTGGCATATAAAAGTAATTCTCCTTTAACCAACGAATAAGGCTCTCACGCAAAATTCTACACACAATTTATAGTTTTTATGTGTTTTATCTGCTGTAGGTTTGATCCCCAGAAAGGCTTTTGGTGTCAGCTACTGGAAGGGGGAAAGACCAAATGCCTTGGGAAAAGCAAAGGACGAAAATACCCACCCATGGATCCAGAGGTACTATTTTCTTCATTTAAATGACTCTAGCAAAAACCTTACAGACAGTTGTTTGAAAACTAGTAGCAGAAATTTCCTTCTTTTTTCTGATCTTTCTTTGTAATCTATATTTTTATGCACTTAGGTGTTAGAGAGGAACCAAAAGTTGATATATGTCTCTAGAAAATGTTTCCTGTTGGAATTAAATTCACTCATAAATATTTGCTGTAAAGTACCTCCTTTCTGTGTTGGAATGCACTTAAATAAATTGCTGAGGAAACAAGTGATTTGAGATAAAATATACAAGTATTGCTAACATATATTCAATGTGTGCATTTACATCCAATGCCAGGAGTGTGGGTGATAAAGTAAAGCAAAGCAGAACATACAAGGATAACATGGTTACAAACTCATATACATTATAAAGCAGACACATTTGTTATGCCACTGATTTATAATATGATACATAAAATAATAACAAGCTAAACTATAAAAAGACAAAAAATTCTCAGTAGAATTAAAACTATGTGGAAAGATGTCTTATATAAGAACAAGGGCTGGGAAAGCAGCCACACAATCATGAGTATGTCTCCCAAGGCAAGGTGGGCACAGAGAGGATGCAAGGGATTCATATGTTGCTATGGTGATGTGAGTGCCAGACGGTCCTTACAATTATACCTTTGAACTCAGTAATTTCAAAAGAAATCATTTTAATCTGCCAAAAATAAATGTAGTGCTCCTCTACCAATTCAAATGTTTACGATCTGATTTAAGGGAAGAAGCATAATGAAATGCTTGGCGAATAGTCCAAGAAGAAATGTGCTCGTCTGGCATCCATGTCCATGGTATGCACAAAAGTTGGTAGGGGAGTTCTATGAAGACAGAAATATATTTGTGTTAAAATGTGGAGAAGGGCCTGGTGTGGTGGTGTATGCCTTTAATCCCAGCACTTGGGAAGCAGAGGCAGGCAGATCTCTGTGAATCCAAGTCCAGCCTGGTCTACATAGAGAGTTCCAGCCCATCTGGGGCTACAGGGAGACCCTGTCTCAAAAAGACAAAAAAAAAAAAAAATGTGGAGAAGGGCTTAAGAGAGGTGATGTCCAAGATATCACCATTTATCTGGTGTTTGGGAAATGGCTCAGTGGTTAAAATCATTTGCTGCTCTTCCAGAGGACCTGAGTTCACCAAGATAGGCAGCTCACAACCACCTATATCTGCAGTTCCAGAGTATCTGATACTCTCTTCTGGCCTCCACAGGCACATAAAAACACTTGTGAATGTACACACACACATAAATAAAAAGAAATCTTAAAAAATTAAACTGGAAAAAATAAAACTATCTAAAGGGACCAGTCTCTATAGGTTGATTACAAAAAAGCCTAAGCTTCAGATATTCCACATAGTATTTTAGGAGGAGACTAAAAATCATGTCATTGGCCAGTTACTTTTTAAAACTCACTAATTTCAGTTTTAATGATTACTTATGTTCTTTGAAAAATTTTATTTCTAAAGGGATATTTTTATGTTTTTGAGCCGCGATCTTCATGTAGCTCAAGATAGCCTAGAACTCACTACGTAGACCAGGATTACAGAGATTTGACTGCCTCTGCCTCTCTTGAGTGCTGAAATTAAAGGCATGTGACACCACGCCTAACTGGGCAATTTTTAAAGGGAATGTGCATATTTTTCTCTTCCTCACGCTGTACATTTGTTGTATGTGAGACGCCCACCTGATTCTTTAGTAATACACCCCTCTTGCCAAATGTCTCTTGGTTAATCTCACAATACACAAGTGCTGTCATGGTAGCCAACCATCCTAGGACAAACCTAGATCTGTCTTTATTTCAGTCAGAATTGCTCAAAATGTAAAAATGAGTGATACTTAAAGAAAAGATGATAAATACATATTTTGTTCACAGATATGTGATAGAATGTCCTACATGCAGGTCTTCAATGGACTAATACCATACTTCAAGTCTTTCCTTTTGTTTCCAGTCTAGAACCTTCCTGTCCAATTACTACCGAGACCACAATGTGGAGCTCTCCAAGCTGTTGCACAGGCTGGGCCAGCCTCTGCCCTCATGGCTGAGACAGGAGCTGCAGAAAGTGAGATAGCATCGCCACAAGAACGTGCCCATAGGGCACAACGACACCATTAAGTAGAAAAGGCAAACTCCACAAATCTATTCCCTAATGCACTTGTGATTGTTGAGAGAGGACTGTGAATACACTTCCTTCATTTTTTTCATAAAATGAAAACATATATGCACGCATTTGCAATTATTAACATTAATCCCTCTGTAAGTTTTTTGAAAAACAAAATAATGGGATTTATGGCATTCTCCAGTTTCTAGTGTGGGGGACATCATACAGTGGTTTCTGTGTTAACCAGGTTTCCAAATGCTATATATGACTAATATTTCTGACTATATGCAAAGTATCAATTAAATTCTTGAGAAAAAGGTAAGGAATAAAGTGTCTATGAATGAGGTTAGGGTAACCAATGTCTGAATCAAGGGCTAACGTTTCTAAGTATTAATTTATGGTGTTCTTTTGGTCCATCTTTCCCTTGTAAAATGGAACCCGTGTCCACTGGTAATCCTATGTTATTAGGCAGGACATGCCATCCTCCATAAGTCTAGCATTATAACTCCAACAAAGTCTACTAGAATTTGGTGAGACAGGACAGAGTGAGTCTTCACTGTAGCACTGATATGAAGGCCCTTAAGGGGCTCAGGCTGTTACTACAATATCAGTCTAGGTGTTGCCTCCTTGACAGTTATGTAGCACTTGTATATATTTTTTCACTATCCAAAATAGAAAAAAAAAAAGCTTTATTGACAAGAAATGTAATGCAAACACCACGATGTGTTTGCAGGTCTAAACAGGCCTTGTGCCTTGGGTGTGATGTGTGTCCATCTCTTTATAGCATGATGCTTCCTATATGCCCAGTAGGTGTACTAGAGTAGAAAGATATTTTGATGTCTATTTTACAATGTATAAAATTTAGGTTAAATCCAAAATATATCTCTTCCAAACACTAATTCTCTAACTAGAACCCAATTTCTCTGACATAAAACCCCCAAATTAATTTTGAGGCAAGAAATTATGTTTCTGTGCAGAGTTACAGATTTCTGTCTTATTCAGAGGATTGGTTGAATTTTTATACCATTTGTCAATGATAATATAATTAAAGCTTCATTAATCTTTTCAGTGGTTCATGAAGATAAAATTTCAAAAAAAAAAGTAAATAAGTCTGACTTTGGTAACATTACCCATCAATCTTCCACAGTAATTTTTCTAAAGGCTGTAAATAGTAATACTTTCCCTCATAACTTGAAAAATTAGGCCTGAAATAACTCAATAAGAAACAGGTAGAGATTTTGTTTTGTCTTGTTTTGTTTTATGAAGAGTGAAGCAAACAAATCAAATTTGGCCATTCTAAGAGATGGTTGGTATTTTTCTTCCATATTCAAAATATTTCACTATGATTTTTCTTTATTTTCTGGATGTTTTCTTAGTAAACCTATCATGGAGGCTCTTGATCTTTTTCAGATAATGTGAGATTTCCTCTTTATGAGTTAATATAAATCACAATTGATTTCCTGGTTCCTCTGTTACTTATGTGGCCCAAATTCTCACTCCTGTTACTTAGATGAGGTGTGATCACACATTCTATTAAAAATAGTAAAATGACTATTGAGACCTCTAATATTCACTAGTTTCCTCCAGTTTATATTCTATTGTTTTTGCTGTTTTCATCTGTCTTGTTTGAAACATCTTACCTGGTTAGCCCAACTTCAAATGTGCAGTCCTACCACTCTCAGCTCTGCAGTGGGGTGACTGGGTTTACACCACCACACTCAGCTCTAATTCTTTCTTTTGACATAGTTTGACTCTTTTACCTTAATGGGATTAAAATGATTTATAGAATAGAGGGTATTTTCATATTAAATAAGACTGATATCACTCAAGAATGTCTGATCATCACCCAGTTTAGCAATCAAACCTATCTTTTGCTTTTTTCTCAATGTTTTCTAAATAACCTATACAGTGTTGGCTATCCAGGACAAATATCTGAAAGTGAAATTTCCCTCGAACTTTGCCTCTCTTTCCTGGTTACAGTGTATATATTTTCTTACCAAGTTTGATAATGAAGAGAGCAACTCATGTTTAATTATTTGGCTGTCACCTTCAAATATTGAAAGGCTCTGACTGTAGACTGTACTACAGTAATCAGGAAATGTCCATTTTAAAAATAGTTTTCATTTTTTTACTTTTACCCACTTCAGAAGTTTTGAATCAAAATTTGTATGTGTAATTCTTTAGAATTTTGATTAAATTATTTCAGAGTCCTGAGTGACATACATTTATTTACTTACATTTGAAAATATTTCCGGCAGCCTTCTGCTAACTTCTTTCCATCTTGTGTTCCTGGGTCTTGTCTGACCTACTGGTGTGACTATTGACTACTTCAATTTTTTAAAGACAAGGATAGTAATTGCGTCAAATACTAACTCCTAAAACATGTATTATGAATATTCATCTAAAATCGAAATTTATTTTTATTCAACAATAACCCAAAGAGAATTAAAGAAGCGGGCAAAGTGAGCACAGTGAGAGGAAGTTACACTTTTTCTACCAATATATTTTTTTTCTAATACACACACATGCACACATGCACACATACACATATGCACGTGCATGTGTGTGTGCTTTAGTCCAATAGATTTTCTTTGTTTAATTTTTAACAGACCCAACTTACACTTAGTTTTGTAGTATATTTTAAATCCCACTGCTTTAAAGAAATATAAAGTAACCTATATGCTAGATGTATTCAATGATTTTTGTTAAATTGGGAGAAAAGCAAATTATTTATAATGGAGTGATATCTTGAAGTCTCTGTTTCTGGTGGTAGCAGAAAACATTGATCTTTTGCCTGAGGGAGGTGGATGGACCCCCACAAATAGTTCTGGCCAGTGACTTTACAAAGCAGACATTCTAGAAGTCTTTGAATATATGTTTTCTTTTTATCATCTATAGGAATATAATTCTACCATATATATACACACACATATACACATACTTTAAAATATATATGCATATATGGAAAATCTTAAAGAGGTTTTCATCATACAAATAAACTTTCTTTGTTAGCCAGAGATATATGTGGAAAAGGCAGAGAGAAAACTCTGTATTTACTTAAATAAAGTTGTTAGACTAGCTGCTGTCACCCCAGTGTGACCTGTCAGGGTCTCACTTCTTCAGAATAAATACTGCCAGTACAGCCCCGGAGTCATTTTGTTTCTCCTGAAGCCACAGGATTCAATCACTAGTTGATTTCTTTTCCTTCCTTGCCTTTATCATTGTATACACACTCCCTGAATGCCAATTGTGAAGGACTTACCCCACCATATGGAGAATGGGCTTTTCAAACCTGAGTTTCCAGGTCTACCTCTCAGTGGGTGTGGCTTTAGACACGTTATGGCGCATCCCTGAACCATGTTCCCTCTTCTATAAAACAGAGACTGTAGAATACTCATGAGGGTCCCGTAGCCCCTCTGAGAACATGTCCGAGTAGCAGAACAATGCCTCAACTAGGTGTGCCGAAATACACTCGTTAGAAAGGTAATGCTTAACTCCTTTCATCAAGCACGAGTATGTGTTTTCTACTCCTGTAATAATGAAAACAGATAAAATTTTAAACTTTATTTGATCAAATGAGAAACTATCTTCTTAACCTTTATCTAAATGCAGCCTTTGCACTGCTCCTTGCCATTGTTCTGAGGATCAGCATTAGCCAAAAGGTAGCGCTGTCCCTAGTCCTGCTTTCCCTCCTCCTGCCGGCCACATCTTTTATTTATTGACTGTCCTACTTCCCTTCTGCTCTTTCTATCTCTCCCCTTAATTCTTTTGTAACTCAAAAACATCAGATCCAGACCTTAAATTTCCTAAAAAAATGAAAAGTTTAGTGAAGGCATATGTAACAATATGTTATGTGGAGGCACAAATAACAAAGAATTAATGCTAGCAATATCACTTTAAAGCTACCAGAAACTGTCTCGGAATTCTCTACAAGTCTCAAATTTTGCTGGAGAGATGGTTCAGCAGTTAAGAGCACTGACTGTTCTTTCAGAGCTGTTCTTGCAGAGCACCTGGGTTCGAGTCCAGTTAACAACCTGTTGTAACTTCAATTCTAGGGGATCTGATACCCCTGACCTCCTCAGGCATTGCATGACATGGGTGCACTTACACACATACAGGCAATACACTCATAAACATAAAATAAAAATAATAAGTAAAGTATTTTTTAAAATGTTATATTTTTATTTGATGTACATGAGGTTTTGCCTGCATGTAAGTGCACATGTGTAGGCAGTACCCGTGGAGGCCGGAAAAGGGTATCAGATCCTCTGGAACTGGTTGTGAGCCATCAGGTGGGTACTGAGAACCAAGCCCTGATGCTCTTAATCAGTGAGCCATCTCTCTAGTTCCAAATTCGACCTTTTAGTGGAAGCTTTTATCCATAGATGAGAACACTATATTATATAAGTTCATATTATAGATTTATAAATATTAAGCATTAAAATTTTCTGTATTTTCCCATGACAGATATATATATATATCAATAGTTAAACAAAAAATTATTATTGAGCTATGTATTTTCTTGTGTTTAACCTGAGTCTTCAAATCTAGCTGACATCTGACCCTTAATTTTTAAAATTTCTATATTTTTGTTACTTGTTAACATTCCTCTTAGTCTCCCTCATACCCTCTCAATTTCTTTTCCTCTTCTTGGGTTATTTTACATATACATACATACATTTATAAATATACATATATAATGCACTGAGTCCATTTAGTGGTGCTTGTGTGTACTTGAATTTAGGGCAGCCCACTTGGGATTAGATAACCTCTCAGGGAACTAGTCCCCAGAGAAAACTAATTCCCCCTTTCCTCAGCATCCATTGACGGCCTGTAGCTCTTCATCTTGAGGTAGGATCCCATGAAGTTTCCCCTATACACTTTGATATGCCAACCACTTTTGTCATTATGTGCAGATCTTGTTAGACTACCATACAATGGAGAGTTCATTGCTGTAGCTTCCCTGTCATGCCTAGAATGCATTAGCTAGTATGTGTCACTTAGGGCTGGGCACCTAACTTATTGTGTTTGACCAGCCGTGTAACTTTGTGATAGTCTTTATATGTTGCAAAGGAAGCTTCTTTGATGAGTCCTGAGAGATACACTTGTCTGTAAATATAAGGATGTGAACTTAGATTATAGTAAGAAATTATGGTGGTCTAGAGAACTGATAGAAATAGGTTTTTCTCTAGG